ATGAAGACACTTCCACCAGAACACCTTTATTTGTAGACATTATATTCTTTTCATTAATGTCTGAATAAAAGACAAACATCAATCTATGCTTTGGGACCATGCAAGACCCCATCCTCAAGGCACTGTGCTGGAGGAACCATCCCTCTAGTCTACTAAGGGCATTGAGGTACTTATCCATATGGTGTGCGATAGACACCTACATAGACTCACATCTGACTTTCATTGCCTTATATCTTTAGGTATGGGGTGGACAATTTAATCTGGAAGGCAGAAGGATTTATTTTTTTAGGCACCAACTTCAATAACAAGAGTGAAACCCAAACAATAGACAAAAGCTGCAGTTTTTAAGGACCATTGGCTACCTGGAATTTGTGCATCCCTGCCTGGATATCTTTACAGTGCTGAAACTCTTTGCTAGGCAAAGCCTCAATTTCAAGGACCACTTTCACCTAACCACCATAGTTCCACCAAGCCAATGTTATAATTTTGGGTGGGCAATCATGTCCTGAAAAACCCACTTAAGTCAGAGGTGGGCACATTAAAATGGAATTCATGCGCCAGTCTGTCCAGGAGCCAGCTTCATTGAAAACAATTAGAGAACCTCAAAAGTTGGGTGCCAGCTGTAATTTTTAAGGAGCATTGGTTACCTGGCTCCTGGGATTTGGCCCGGCTTTAAAGTGTCTTGGAGACAAGCATCTGCAGGAGTTTCCCCCTCCCATCCCTAAGGCAATGACAAAGGTGTCAATCTCTTGCTGTTTGATGCCCCAACTTTTAGCTCACGTCATGTTATGGGGAATTCACAAGGGAATGTGACACCATCATTTATCTCTTGTCATGATGGCTGTGGCTGGAAATTCTGGTAGGGAGACCTTTCCACTAAATTCGGAAATATCAGTTTTTGGTGAAGTGACCCCGTTTTAGTTGTCCACATACCACTAGAGATTCCATATCAAGGTCAGCAGATTTAGCTCCAGCCTCGTTCCTCTGCTACATAGAAAACAGTGTCTAAATGAAGCTTACTGCAATTCTGTCTGTCTTTGCCTCTGGCAGCTAAGCAGTTTTACAGCCTCATCCCCCAACCGCCTTCCATAGCCCACAGTTTATCTCTCTGTGTTTTCAAACCAACCTAACCAAGAAAACAGATGTGCTGCAGGCAACAGGAGATCGAGATTAACCCCTTACAGCTGGCCACAGACAGAGAATGACATTCCCATCCTCCAATGCATTGTCTTGCCAGCAGCACACACTGTGATCAACGCTGCGATGGGCCCCATGGGTGTTCGTGCCATAAGCACCTTTATCTCTGTATGAAGGAAGAACAAGCACTTCCGATATTTAACTGTCATTACTCTCCAGGGAAGCCCAACATGGGCCACTTCTTGCCTCAATGTTACAAATAATGCTTTCATACAAAACATGGTTTGTAAGGATCACCCTCTATGTTGTCACCCACATTACAATCTGATTGCAGAATCGTCATTAGATTTAGTACCAACAATGTAGTGTGAGAATCTGCCTACAGGTGGCCGGCCATACATGGTTGGAATTTCAGCAGTAATCGGATGAGATTTGATCAGGTCGGTAGCACTGTCTACTAGGGGTGCACCAATACTAGTATCAGTGCCGATACTGAGTATTTAGGCAAGTATTTGTACTTGCCCAAATGCTCCGATACCTTCCCCGATACCAAAACTACCCGTCAGAGATAGATTTCCCCTGACCGGCAGTGCCGTAGGGAAGCATGGAGCCATATTTCCATGCAATCAGGAAGCTGAGCGACAAGTAATGACCCGCCTCCCGATTGGCCGGGAAGCCGGCTTTCCAGCCAATCAGCATAGAGCCGGCTGTGCGGCTGGCTCGATGCTGATTGGCCCGGGAGCCGACTTCTTGGCCAAACTGCCAGCTCAATGCTGATTGAACCCGCTTTCCAGCCAATCAGCATTGAGCTTCCCAGCCAATCAGGAAGCCGGTCATTACTCATCGCCTGGCTTCTTGATTGGCCAGGAAACCAGCTCTATGCTGATTGCTCCATGCCGGCAGAAACACTGGTATCGGTACTCCGTATCAGTGAGTACCAAAAGCAAAATATCGTTACTCGTACTCAACACCAAAAAACCCGCTATCGGTGCATCCCTACTATCTACACCACCCAGCTCAACAAACCAACTAACCGGCAGGGGAGATTTTCCCATCCATGCCATCTCATATGCATGGAGAAATCAATGGATTTAGCGGGCTGAATGAGAAATCTTCAAGTGTATGGCTGGTTTAAGAGTATACAAGTTCAGACGTGGAAGAAGGAATATGGAATTTAAGAGCCAGTCTATCCAATCCAGGAGCCAGCAGATTTGCTTTAGGAGCCAGCTCCATTGGCAACTAGAGAAAAAGTAAAAAGTTAGCCACCAGGTGGAATTTTTAAAGGAGAATTGGCGACCTGGCTCCTGGGGTTCATCTAACACTGAATAAACTGAACAGATTGTTCAAGCAAGCCAAGGCAATACAAATGTCTGAAGGTTCTCATTCATCCAGGTCATGGTATATCTGTAAAAAATAAGTCAAGGCAACAGGACTTGTATTTTTCTTGAAGACGTTTCAGTGACCAGTGTCACAAACATCTTCAAGAACAATACAGCAAGTCCAGTTGCCTTGACTTTTCTTACAGATAAGGCAATACATTGTTACTGTCTATGATAATCCATTCAAAACAGGTGTGGGCAAATCTGGTCCTCCAGCTGTGCTTTAAGTCCAAATCCCATCATGCTGTTGCCTACATGGAGCGATGCCTGCAACCTCCAGTCTTGCAATACCTCATGGGACTGTTCCACAACAGCTGGAAGGCCGGAGTTGCTCACCCCTGATCTAGAGTCTACTGGTAACCCATCTAAAGTAGACTGTACCGTGTGTAACCAACTTCAAGAGGAAGTGAACTCAAACCTCTGCTGTGGCCTTCTTTTGGCCACAGCTTTCAGAGGACTAGTCACCAGCATTGCCTGTGGTATCCCTACAGTCAATCTTTTGCCCATTACAAACCTACCATGTCTTGTTCTGCAGTGTGCCTCTGTGGGGAGGCGGTCTTCTTGGCAGAGGCAGGGCTTTACTTCCCCATTTCAGAACCTCCAGCAAGGAGGACAGTGAGCAGAACAGTAGTGACAACTCCAAATCTCCCGAGCCTGGTAAAGGCAGCAGTGCCATAGAGGTACAGTATATCTGAAGTGTGAGATCTATGAGGCTGTAGGCACCAAGTACCTGGGTTCCCTCACATACCAGAAGTGCTCTGCTATCTTTTTATTAGGAGTTCAAGACAAAAGGGCACATATTCCGGGTACGGCTTAACATTTCTAGATGTCCCCAACAAGAAATCTTTTTTTAAGTTGAGTTACTCATTACGAGTAGGGCAACCTCATAAGAATCTGACCAGGCCTACTCGTGAGAGATCTGTCCGCCTTCACTGGGTCTACAATGCAGTCATTTTTCACAGTTTTTGCCCCAACTGAATGACCAGATGCTTCCTGTGTGTACCCAGGTTCAGGAATATCCCCAGTGTTAGTCACCAAGGTCCCCCAGCACTGCATTTTAGGATGCCAGAGCAAAGTCCAGGGTTTTAGACGGATCCACCTGGGTTCTCTACAAAGCACAAACACTTGTATTAGACTAAGCTGCTGTTAGTTTAAAGCAGAGGTGGGCAACACCGGCCCTCCACCTGTAATTTAACTACAAATCCCAGCTTGCAACATGGGAGTCATGCCTGTGACTGTCGGTCTTGCAATGCCTCAGGGAACTTGTAGTTCCACCGCAGCAGGAGTGCCGAGGCTGCTGTGTTTAACAGCCCTCTAAGAATTGTATTCAAACCCAACACCTCCAGACAATTTCTGAAGAGGGTCGAACAACAAGCATCAATTTTCCTGCCCGATCACCGGAGACGAGGCGTTATCTAAGCACGCCGACTGGCACACCTGTGCAATACAAACGCCAAAGCCGTCTCCCCGTACACAGCTGGTTTATAAACTGGGAAAATGGACACGTTCCACTTATCGGCCAATTAGGTCTCATTTGATGTTCTTTTTCAATCGCAGGCAACTGAACGGGCCGACTATGGACAACCTGCGTACTTTATGCTTTTCTCCAATTTTAATAAATACAGGTGTCCATCCATAAGACAATGTGAAAGACTAAAAACATATATCTATATATATCCATTATAATAATAATAATAATAAAATCTCCACCATCTACCCCAATCAGCCCGTCATACATAGAGATATACACAATATAACGTCTATAGGACTACATGGAGCTCTGGAAGATGCAGCCCCGGCACGGCTACGATGTCGGCCATTTTCAGGAATCACAAATATTGAGTGTGATTTTGGGTTTTTTGGCGGACATCTTCATCAGCACGCGTCGTTAACTATATACAGATGTATGCAAAAAAAAAAAAAATGGAAAAAAAGGGCATAGCGGAGACAAAAGGGAAAAACAAAAATCATAAAAATACTATCACGCCGGAGATGGCGATTGGGTGAATTGTCTGGATGATAGAGACGGCGAAATGTTGATTTTGGGATCTAGACCATTATGTACAATTTTTCCCCAAAGCTGCTTGGGGGGAGTAGACGCAAGCAACGCCACACTCACTCCCTGCCTGGGGAACAACCTACGGTCATCCCTGGAGCCACTTCCTGCCATTGTATCCTAATCTGACACCATCTCATATAAATACGGGGGGATGATCCCCAAAAATAAAAGGCAAGGAAATGTCAGTAAATAGAGACTGTGGGGCGTTGGGGGTAGCCAAGAAATGAATATTCACATCAAGCCGATATAGTTGTAGAACAAAAGAATGAGATGATGTCAGGAGGATGAGCATCCCGTCAGTGGAAAGCAGTGCAGGATCTCACACAGACAGCCAGGTAGTCATGTATATAATATAAATATATATTGTTACAATGTATACAAACTGATGGATCCATGCAGTCACGTGACTGTCACAGGTGTCTCACCTGCTGGTAATCGGGGTCCTCAGGTTTGAAGTCCCCACTGAGGGTCTCCCATTTCAGGTTGAGATGGGGGAGTCGGTGCAGGAGGTTCACCCACCACGGTGGGCTGTAGGTGATGACAGCAGCCATGTTTGCGGAGCTCACAACGGCGGCCTGGCTCTCATGGGGTTCGGGGAGGGAGGAGGAAGGGGGGTACACGGGCGATCGGTGCTTAAGCTCGCCCCCACCGATCCATTCTCTTCTTGTTACCCGGAATTAGCCCTGAGACGGCTCCTGCTCCCTGGGTGTGCTGTGCTCATCGTCAACCCGCTGCGGGTGTGGGTATGTGGGTGCACGGAGCAGGCGATGCCCGGGGAATCCTGGTGCTGATGCTCCCCAGCTCCGGCTCTTTGTTCCCTGAGACTCGATCTGCTCCGTACACCCCTCCTGCGGGTCTCGGAGTGTCCCTAGTCCCGCCCTGAGGATCAGACCGCCCCCACTGGCTCCACCTTGACTCTACTACACCGCCTTAACTCCGCCCCCCTCATTTCCATAGCCCGCATCTTTCTACCACAGCCAGGCACGCTGGGCCAACCCACTCCGTACTCGACCGCCCTATTCCCTCCCACTCTGCACACAGCCCCGCCCTGCCTTAGGTCATACTTCTCTAGCTCCGCCCTACTGCTCCCTTACCACGCCCGCTTGAGGAGTCGTCACCTAGCCACTGGAAGGTTAGGCTTCCTCTCAGCCCCGCCCCTTTTTACTGAGCTGTCCTGTCCTCTTGGCGATTTCGATTTGCCTTCTCGTACCTGTCTGAGCCACCCGTGTGCCCACGTCCGCTTCTTCCTGTGACCTTATGGGGTCTGTTTATAAACAATTTGCAGAGTCATTCACCCTGTGAATCTCTGAATGTTCATTCTGTGTGAACAAAGGCAAAAACAATAATTTGCAGAAGATGTTATATTCATGTTCAATGTAACAATCAGAAAATACCTAATTATGGCCACTAGATGGAGCACAAGAGCATAGGAAATCAATACCCCTTTCCCGTCCTTTTCTGCTCCATCTAGTGGCCATAATGAGGTATTACATTACGTAACATTACATGCAACCTGAAAAGAAACTATATAGGCAGCCCCCGAGTTACATACGACTCCTACTTACAAACGGAGGCGATTACTGTACCGCAGGGGTAGTTGTAATACTACCGTGCTCGTGCCAACCAGGAGTGCCCGCCTTTTTGGGTCTGGTTCATAGTGCTGTACGTACATTACAGGAAATTGGTTCTTGTTAGACGTGCAGGCGAGGGGTGCCCACCTCTTCTTTCAAGTCACTGTGAGGTTTTTACTGCTGTCTGTATCCTCATTTGAAAGATTTAATCTCACTTCCTGTCCTTGAGACAACAGGAAGTGAGAGGAAATCTACCCCTAGGAAGGGAAATCCACTCCTGTAAGAGTCATCATGGGAAAAAGGTGTCTCCACTGAAGCTAAACCCCACATTTTCAAAAAGCAATTGTCACAGGGACAGAAAGTGAGGTGAAATCTTATGAACAGGGGCACACACAGCAAAGCAAAATGTTACGGGGGGTTAACCCTTCCCTATGCTATCCAAAGCAAAAAAACATTTTTTGTGGCTGGAGTTATACTTAAAAAATGTACCTGTTCCAACTTACATACAAATTCAACTTAAGAACAAACCTACAGACCCTATCTTGTTCGTAACCCGGGGCCTGTCTATACTAAGAGTCTTCCTTTTTGCCTCTTTGCACAGAACGAATGTTCACAGAGATTCACAAGAGCCTCCAGTGTCCTGTGCACACCCTACAGGTGCGTTGTATGTCAATGTATCATGTCTGCATATTTACTCAACACACAACATATTATACCGCAATGCTCTGTTGTGCATAGAGTTGAATAAAGGGTAATTGTGTAACATCTGAAAGTTAAAAGAAAAGAAGTAAACCTTGTAATGCATTGTCACAACACACAGTACCGTGCGCACTGGTGTGAATGGGCTCAAAGTATCTAAACCCACAAACAATGTAATACATTGCAACTGACCTGAAGGTGGCTTGCATTTCTCACAGGAGTGGACATACCATTTGTGCAGACTGTGTAAATGCACAGGGGCCCTCTAGCACAGGGCCCACTCTGGATCACATGGGTGCTGAGACTCTTTTCCACCAACATGTAGACTTTAACACGGCTCACTTCTATCTAGATGTCAATTGATACACAGTGACTAAGTGTTTCTACGTGGGCAGTAGTTAAATGGGGACCAAAAGTTGGTCTTGCCTTGGTGACTTGTTGTGAGTGAGATGGCCCCCCCCCCAGTAAAGTCCAGTAAGAGAGAGTTTAGTGATCTACTGTTCCCGTGGTACTAGTGAAGGGCTGAGAAACCACAGAGGATGTGCTGTCTATGACCAGCTCAAGAGGCACCTACCTGCCCAAGCCTAGGTAATAAGCTGGAAGCCTAGTAAGGTTCTATCAATGGTGAAGGAAAGCACATGCAATGGGGGCACACCAAGAGAAGAGTATGGCCCAAGAGTTTAGAGATCCACCAGAAAAGAGTCAATGTGTGGTGCTTGTGGAGAATCATCTGGAATAGAATACCAGTCTGAGGAGGCTTGTGTGGTCTACCTCCCCGTGAATGACAGGTTACACCTCCACAGTCTATGCTATGGATGATCCTACAAGGCTTGGTTTGCCAACCACAACATGTCCCATTGATCCCAGAATGGTGGCACTTGTCTCTTGATCACCATCCTGCACTTCAAGTCTTCTTTTTGACCATTGGCTGATATCACCGTTTTAAGGGCCACCATTTCCACCATAGAATACCCTCACTCAGAGCTTTTCCATGCTAGTAACTTAAATATGACCTCTAATATCCAATTGTGGTATCCACGTGTGTACTGGCAGTGGTCACTCAAACACTTTGCCTGCAAAGACCCAATTAAAATGTTTTGGCTTTAAATATATTTCAAGCTTGGGTGTTCAGATGTCTTTTGAGGTCTTCTGCAAAGCTAAAGACTCATAAACTGCTTAAATCAGCAGGATTAGGCTGAAATTTGAGCAGTGTGTGGCCTTTTCATGGAGGGTTGGACAAAATTTTGTTTCCTCAACGGACTTTTGTTGAAGGAGCTGGTTCAAAAATTGCCAATCAGCTGAAGTCACGGTTCGGGTATTCTGGGGTACACTCACCGCTGTCAAAATATAATAGCCCGGAGTAGGGATTCTCTGTTTAGTGTTGATGGGCAATTGAATGCTGAAATAGGCAAGAGGTTCTCTATCAAACTGCATTGTGTGTTATGGCCATAGCTGGGAACTGTCCATTTAAACTGATCTTGAGAGTCTCTCCAATATAATGGACCGAAGAGCGATGTAAAACCAGGAGTATGAAAATGAACTACCTGCACCCGGTCAGTGGTCTTGCAATCTGTACACCACTAATAAGCCAAGGCTGGGGGACACTGGCACCTTGTCTACTAACATTCCAGTTTCCTTGATGATATGGCAGTCTGTCTGACAATATGATAATCTTTATACTGACAAAGCCATGAGTCGGATAACAGCGAAGTCTCTCCAGTACAATGACAGTCTATGTGGTGATATAGATTTTGAAGCATGCAGCTGTCTCTGGTAACAGATGTCACCGTCCATTCTGACCAGTTGTAGACACGGTCATGGACACTGAAAGTACCATGCGTTGTCTTTGCCCTGTTCTGTCCAGTGTAAGGCAATGGCTATGGTACTGTGGTGTCCAGCAGCCCTCGGAAAGGTTACAGATGCACTTGGTCCGCCATTATGTTCAGGCCTAAGCTATAGCGAGAGACTCCCGGGTCTGACACTCAATAGGAGCAGGGAAACACCAGCCCAACTTTGCTCAGCCTGGGGCAGTGAGAACAATGACTTCTCTAGCTAGAAGGGTAAAACCAAAGGTTCACTTAACTGCCCTCCTCACAAGGAGTACATCCTCCTCACTTAGTTCAGCCCTGCATGAGCCCCAAGTCACTTCAATTGGATTTCACAGGACCGGAACCTCTCCCCAACCCAGGTGAAAGCACTGGACCAATCACCCGCTCTGGCACATGGAGTGAATCACATTGTCTCCGGATGCACTTGGTCCGCCATGATGTTCAGGCCTAAGCTATAGCCAGAGACTCGCAGTATTTGCTAGGGCCGGGTCTGACACTTAATAGGAGCAGGGGAACACCAGCCCAACTTTGCTCAGCCTGGGGCAGTGAGAACAATGACTTCTCTAGCTCTGAGCCCTGTACTGCAGTTCAATGGGGGGAAAGGGGGGATACCCTTTAAAGTGAACCTGTGCTTTTCCCATGAAGGGTAAAACCAAAAGGTTCACTTAACTACCCTCCTCACAAGGAGTACATCCTCATCACTTGGTTCAGCCCTGCATAAGCTCCAAGTCACTCCAGTTGGATGTTACAGGACCGGAACTTCTGCCCAACCCCATGTGACAGCACTGGATCAATCGCCCACTCTGGCACATGGGGTGAATCACATTATCTCCATACCCCAAAGTGGCAGGTATTTTGGATCTTCTCCCAGTGGCTGAACAGAGGGGTGGTAAAGCAAAGGGAACATGAGGATGTTGTACTGGGGGACTGAGCATGAAAACAAACCTGTTACTAAAACATATCTAAACTCAAGAGCAAAAAGTTAATAAAGTGCAGCTTACCGATCCTTAGATGTGGTGGCTGCATTCGTTTTCTTTCTGACTTTTTTCCCCTTTTCTTCGCATGGTGATCTGACCAGTAACACACCTGTGCTTTATCTATGTGGGGTAAGGACTCATTCTGACAAGCAAACAAGGGCAGATAGGCTGCTGCCATTCATTCGTACAGGGGCCCCTGAACTGCTGTTCGCACGCATTGGGTGCAAGGGGAATGTTTTTTTGCTGGTGAGCATCTGCAGATTCTTGCAAGAAAATAAACATTCCCCTTGGACCCAATGTGTGCAAATAGTAGTGGTAGGGCCCCTGTATGAATCAATGGCAGCATCCTATCTGCCCTTGTTTGCTTGTCAGAATGAGACCTTACCCTACATAGACATAGCAAACGTTTGCTTTAAGACGGATCCCCAAAATATAAATCACACAGGAGATTCCTGCAAGGTTTATTACTCCAACCCTGTTCTCAGTATAAACAGAAGTCTTACTTCTTTCCCCATTTTGTGTATCTTTCTTATGAGCCACCCAGGTAAAAGTGTTGATTTGGGGGAAGGAAACCGGCAAAGCTACATTTGTTAGAGTGACGAGCGAGCACTGCGTATTTTCATAGAAATGCGTTCAAATAACAATGATCTCCGGAGTCGAAGGAGCAATAATAGTTTTTTTCTGCACCGCGGTCCTGCCAACAATTACCGTGTAATGTGCTTGATGATCCTTGCAAGCTATTTCATCCCCGCACGCCTCCACCATGGGTATAAAAATGTGTCATCGGCAAATCCGT